GGTTCAGTCTGAGAGGGCTCTCACGGTTTGTGCTGGGAGGAGGAGAAAAGTCTGAAGAACTGGGGAAGATGTATAGAGATGGACAAGGAGAGAGATAATTAAACAAGACATCTTTTCGGGGGGATTCTCTTAATTCCACCCTGGCTATGAGCATAAGATTAGCTTTACCTGTGAATAACAGAGTCAAACTAATAGTGGCTGAAACAAGGAAGACGTTTCTTTCTTGCTAATATTAAAGTCCGGAGACGTTCTGTCTGGTGTTGGCCTGGTGCTCCTGTGCCACAACGTCCTCAAAGACTGAGAGCCTTCCATGTTATTATTTCGTCTCTATGGGCTCCATTCCCAAAGCCACCTCATGGACCAGAGAGCCACTTGAGTGCCAGCCATCACGTCCATATTCCATCCAGCAAGAAGAAGGAAGGGGGAAAAAAAGGACAAAAGCACACCATAATCACTTCTATAGAAATTTCTAGAAGCTACCACACAAAGATTCTGCCTATAGCTCATTGACGAACGTTAGTCACATGGCCACCCCTAATCGCAAGGGAGGCTGGGAAATGCAGTCTTTGTTCTGGGTAGCTATGAATCCAGTGAAAAACTGAGGGATTCTATTACTGTGGGCAAAAGGGCAGTGGCCGTTGTGAGACAACGAGAAACTCTGCCATCTCCTGAGAGAGTGGAGGCAGGTTCTGCAGACGATCCCAAATTGGGTCCCTTTGGGAAACTGGTGGAAAATACGTACTTCTCTGCATCAAAATGCTGATATTTTTATACATAAAATTTTGTGTGGGATTTCAAATGATTCACACACTCTATGAAGCTCAAGCTTGGGAAGTCATGGATTGATTTCCTCAGGTTAAGGTTACTTAATTTAGAAATAGGTTTGGAGATGAAGAAGACTAAAGGGAAGAAACACACTGTGTGTGTGTGTGTGTGTGTGTGTGTGTGTGTGTGTGTGTGTGTGTACATCTATTCCCACCCCTTTCCATTTGGCAATATGAGTGTATTTGATGTGGTTGGTGTGGTTTATTTTGGTTTTAGATTCAAGAGTAGATTGTCAAAAGGACTCAGTGTTACACCTCGAGCAAGCATTGGACAAATTCCATTGGCAATGGAAAAAAAAACAAAGACGAAAAGAAACACTGCCCTGAGTCATTTGTCCACATTCCGCCATAGCTATAGAATGGTTTAGAGCCAGGAGTCGGAGGGAGTGGAAACCCCTGTCGCCCTGGGTGGAATCACCTGTGTCTTCCCTCTAGTGCACTGATGCTGGGACTACTCTGACAGAAAGTACTGATGAAATGTTAGGGTGGGGATAGACATGGGGCCATCGCCCAGTTTTTAGGAGACTCTAGATTCTTCCGAGTGGGGGAGATACTTATAGAGGCGGCAGCTGGGAGTGTCTGTCTTGAGAATTTGGTGTTCGAGGTGATGAAAGGTGAGAACAGAGGCTGTTGGACCTTGTGCCCAGGTGACCCGAAACACTCCCAGAAACTTGTCATGAGCTTACCTAGGCAACGGAGCCTGCCCTCGAACTTTTTAGTATCAGTGATGATACTAACAATCAGATCAGGCACTGGGCTAAGTGCTTCACTTCTGCTCATCTTCATGGCACCCTTATGAGACTGGTACTTTTATTATCCCCTTTGAAAAGATGAGGGACCTGAGGCTCAGAGAGGTTAAGCCACTTACACATCAACACACAGCTAGAAAGTAGCAGTCAGGCTCCAACCCAGGTCTTTCTGACTCCCACTCTCTCAGCCACTGCCTTTGAAAAACGTGCCATTCTCTGATCTCAGGGACTATATACCTCAGAGCCTTGCATTGTGCTGGATGAGGAGCGGGTGTTCACATCTGTCTGCCTCACCCCCTATTCTGCCTTCTCTCACCCCCAGGGAGGGCTACAGCCCCGAGTGGGAAGAGTGTGTGCATGACAGATTGTTACAAGTCCCTGTATGGGACACGTCACTGCTTTGCCACCGCCCTCCTAGCCACACCCCCCACCCCCCACATAAAGTAAAAATTAACCAGGTCAAAAACACCTGGGAATTGGAAGGGAGCACACCTGGCAACCCCAGGTACAGTTAGTTAATCACTTGCCAGCCACCTGGCCAGGTGGGGCGCTCCCTGCTGGAAATAGGGGGATGGGGATGAAAGAGGCTAACAAGGCTCTGTGCTCTTGGAGATGTAAACAAGTAAACAAACTAATTACAGAGGGAAGGAGCTGTGTGGGTATGCGGGGGATGGAGAGGTATTTTAGGCAGCTAGAAATCATCCCTCAGGTCCCGTACACACCCAGTCACCCCTCCCTGGGATCCCGCCTTCTCTCTCCTCTTTCCTGAGCCCCCTTTCCTGGCCTGGCCAACTCTCCTCCTTTCCCAGGCATCAGCTTAGACATCCAAGGCTGTTTGAGGTGTCCCTTTGGACTCAGCCTCACCCTAGTGCTCAGCTGTGCCACTTACTAGCTGTGTGACATGGGACAACCTGTCTGAGCCTCAGTTTCTGCATCTGTATGATCGGCATAAAAACAGTACCTTTCTCGTAAGGATGTTGTGAGGATGAAATAGCATAATTTCTGTGAATATATGTGAAACCCTTGGAACGCTGTGTGGCACACAGCAGGCCCTATGTAAATGTCGGGTGTTATTGCTGATATTGTCACCATGATGGCAGCTTGTAGCACACCGTAGAATCCCAGACCTGGACAACAGATGACATTTCAGTAGTTCTCAATCCTGGCATCGTTGTTAGTATGATCCAGGAAGCCTTTTGAAACACTGCTATCTGGCCCCCGCCCTCAGCAATTCTTTTTATTTGGGTGGGGTGGGACCCGGGTCAAGTTCACAGGTGGTTCTAATGCATAGCCAGGGTTAAGAACCACAGGCCTAAACCGACTAGCCTTGTTTAACATGCGAAATAACCGGGGCCCAGGGAGGGTTTGGTTTGCTGAGGTCACAAAGCAAGCAGCCCTGGGAGTCTTGGCCCTTGACTCTTGGGAAGTTTGGTTTTCCTCCCATCTCCTGCTTGTCTGATGACACCGCCCCCCTACCCCTCCGGCCCCACGCCCATGGAAGGGCTGTGCATGCCCCTGGAGCTGCAGAAGCTGAGGGTGTTGGCTCTGGTCCATCCCCGGGCAGCTGTCCATCTGGCCTGAGAGAGAGACATCCCGGGAAGCAGGTCTCTCTCCCCAGCAGCCAGGATGGTGGAGGCTGGGAGGGGGGTGGGCACCTGCTCAGAACAATGGCTGAAAATAACATGCCGCCCGATTCCTGTAACTGGCAACCACAGCAGGCATTAGGAGGGCCCAGACCTCCTCCATGAGTCACTGAGGGATGGCTGGCGTCACAGGAACAACCTCCTGGCACACAGGGGCCCTTGTGGAGGACTAGCTCTGAGTTTTGGGGGCTCATACCTTCAGAGCTAGAGGGGTGCAGCAGAAACACCCTGGAGCCCCCAGACCAAGGTTCAAATATCCACTGGCTATGTGGTCTTGTACGAGCCTCGACTTTCTGCTCTGCCAAACAGGAAGAGCTAAATGGGGTTGTTATGAAAATAAAATAAGTTAATTTATAAAGAGGGCTTGGCACATGCTAATTGATCATAAAAGGTTATTATTATTATTATTATTATTATTATTATTATTATTACTATTATTGTATTATTACTATACTTTATTGATGAAGCCACAGAAGAGGACATGGTTATTGCCTTACTCTATTTGGGAAGAAAGAAATCAGTGTGTATGGGGGTGGGGGTGGGGCGGTGATGATGATGGTGGATAGCCCTGGAGTTACCCCAGGGACATTATTCTGTCCCAGTGATTCCCAAGGGATATTTCTAGAAGGGCAGGGTGCAAGGCCCGGGGGCGATGGTGGGAACCTGTTTTGTTGGATCTTTCTCCCTTAGCTGATAACCCGCTCAGGTGTAGACAAGACTGTGTTGTAGACAAGGGTTGAAATCACCTACCCATAGCCCTGGGGGTGGGGGTGGGGGGAGTGTGGGGCCCAGGTACCTCCTCCTGTCTGGCCCCTGAGATGATATATATTATATTATTTGTGTGTGTGTTTGTGTATAATAGTTTTGACCCACATACTGTATGGGGGGAAAAAAACGAGTGAGAAACATTTTAAACATCAGGAGATTTGTATCTAAACATTCAGGTTCTCCAGAAAAAGTGGGAGATTTCTCCCCGGCAGTGGTAGATGGGGCTGCCTCATTCCCCACAGACCTAACCCTGGCCTCATCCCTTGCCTGCCTCCCGCCGTGGGTGCTTTCAGCCCCTGCTCTCCAGGGCAAGAACTTTGAAGCAGGACACTGGGACTATCCCTGGAGGCCGCCACAGGGCCTTGCAGGAGGCCCCATGTTCTAAGTGGGCTATTTTTGGCCGACCTCATGAGCCCCACTTCCAGAGCTCAGTGTGGGTGTGGGCAGTTGTAACCCTGGTCACTAACATCCATTGAGTGTTTTCCATGCACCAATGTTTTCATTTTAATTTTTAGAGCCTCCATTCCATGTCGTTCCCATAGCAGCCCTGGGGGGTGGGGGTGACTGTTGCTGTCCCCATGTACAGGTGAGCAAACCAACCCAACAGGGTGTCATTCTCTTGACCAGTGAGGCCTCGGGGGCAAAACAATTCTGCCAGAGAGAACTGGTTGCTCGTCGCGTAAGCTGGGGTGCTGGGGAGCAGAGCAGTGGGGTCTGGAGTCGGCCTGCCAGGATCCCGTCATTGACTCCGCGGCCTTGGGCGAGTGACTTTGCTTTTTTGGGCCTCCGTTTCCTGCTCTGTAGGAAGGAGATCCCAATACCTACCTCGAAGGGTTGTGGCGAAGACTAAGATAATGCATGGAACATGCAAAGGGAAGGGTTTCCGAAGGTATTCTGTGGATACTGGGGGCAAGGTGACAACATGTGGCATGCAGCCCAGGTGCTCTGTCTCCCTGCCGCCCTCCCCCGCTCCCTCTGCCTCACCCCGTAAAGGACAGAGGACCCTGGGACATGTATGAGAAATCCATACCATGGGATCTTTTATTTGAACAGAGACATGGTTCGTACAGGCTGAAGATTGGAAACCTTGGGAAGGCTCATTTAGCTGTGACCACCAGAAATCAAACAAGCCATGCCCGCCGTGTCACTGGATAGAGGACAGGGTCCCAGGATGCTGGGGACACACAGGAGCTTCTCCCCTCTGATGTAGCTGTTCTGGGCAGAGGCTGGCTACAAAGGCTGAGCCGGGCTGGTGGTGGGTCCCCTGGTTTGGGGTTTTCCAGATGAGAGCTCCAGCCCCTGACATGAAGAAATGGTCTTGGGATGCACCAAGACCCCTAGGCTGATGTGGTAGGTTCTGCTAGGTCCTTGGTCAATGACTGCTTGAGAAAAAGGAATTGGGGGAGAAAAGATACAGCACAAGCAGAGAAGTCCTCACAGCAAGAAAGAGCTCCCCAAGACAGTGTGGGGGCACTGTTGTCAGACAGATCTGAGCTCAAGGGAGCTTGGGCACATCAGTCCCCGCTTCCCGGGCCTCAGTTTTCTCATCTGAGAAATGGCAACATGACCCGTGTCACTGGTTTGTTTGAACAAGTGTACAAAAGATGGCCTGACACAATAAACAGCGGTGAAATCCAGGGCACAGCAAAGCCATTCTGGTCTTTTCTTTGATGACTCTGGGTGGCTGGGTTTGGAGAGACGTTCAAGCGAAATATAGAGGGCTTTCCCTCAGGCCACAAGAGTTATCAAGGGGGCAGCACCTGGAGGGCCCCCTTAGCTGACTGTAGGACTCAGTTGCTGTGACCTCACCCTGCAAATGAAGCCCATGCCGTTTTTTATTTTCTTGCTTAGGAGACACCCTTAAACCTACAGTTAGGAGAGGACACACAACGCAGGACCATTTGTCTTGATGGTTGGCGCTCACGGGCATTAGAGTTAGAACCTGCTCCCTCCACCCTGCCAAGAACACTTAGGCCAAACCCTATTCTACAGATGATAAGACTGAGGCCTGAGACCCGCTCCATTTCATTCAGACAGACACACACAGGCGAGAGACCCACAAAGGAAGGCTGTTCTAATCTCTTTGGCTCAGCTCCTTAGAAGACGAGGCATCGCTTTTGTTGGCCGGAGAAAAGGAATTACAATCTTCTTTCTCTCTCTCTGTCTTTTTTCAAGGAGTTGTGACTTTTTAATAGAAGTTGGTTCGTGCGCAGGCATTTTCTTCCTCAATTAATTTCCATCGAAATGAGGTTTTCCCGGAGATAACCAGTGTTTTAGTTCCATTTGAGCTTAATTTGTATGACTGTAGCCTTCATTTCTGCCAATTCCAATTTGCTGCGTGATTCTAGCTCTCATTACCTGGGCGATCACGCGCCCCTGCTGCAGACTGCCCTACCGAGGCTGGCAGATGGGCCGATTTCCAATAGAAATTCAGGGAAAGGAGTCCCTCTCCTCTCCCAGTGCCACTCAATAAACGGGAAATAAATTATTAAATAAGCCATGTTCTGATGGGGGGGGGTCCCCATCATGGTATTTACAATGCAAAACAACCACCACTGAAAAACAAAACTCAAAAAAACAAAAACAAAAATCAATAGTCATAGACAGAGGGGAGAAGACAGCTTCTCGTCTCATTAGCTCATTGGTACATAAGTGAGAAAAAGAAAGCATTACTTGATCACACTATATCTAGCATCGTTCCAAAGCTGAACTCAGTTGGCCAATGCAGAAGGGCGTGTGTTTTGAGGAATTCTGTGGTTTTTTTTATTTTTTAGGTTTTTTTTATTTATTTTTTTTTTATGAGAAAACTTTTTCTTCAGCTGCGGAGGAAAGCAAGGCAAGATACATACACATGATATTCATGGAAAAGAATACAGCAGAAGAAAAAATGGAAGTGAGACTTGAGAAGAAAAAAAAGTGCTTTCAAACCTTTGGGGGCATCCCGAATTTTGGCCTCTTCAAGCAAAGCCTTTTGGGAAGATGGACTGAGTCAATTGAAGTGATGAGGGGGTGTCGGTTCTTTAAGGCGGAGACCCTTGTGTCTTTCAAACATCTTAATTTTGTTTTGCTTCTGAAAGACGGACATTCCTTCAAAGAAAGGGAAGAAGTAGCGATAGGAATGCAGCCAAACCTGGAAGAATGTTCCTGGGTGGTGGCTTTGAATTAGTTACCTTTTTTCTTAATTAACTAGAGGGAATTCACATATTGCTTTTAGGTGTGAACTCGCACGAGACCCGCCTAAAAATGTTTGAGGCTGTTTTCCTTTTTTGCTTTCCATCTCAGTGAACTCACTCTGTCTTGGAAGAATGGACCAGGCCTCAGGTGAACATTTTGGATTGTACCTCAAAAACTCCTCCACTTCCCAAAGGTGTGAACTTTGGCCCAGAGAAAGGGAGCAATTTGCCCAGGTTCACTCATCCAGGGAATGCAGCAGCAAGGTCCAAGGGCACCACCCTCCTCTCGCATTTTCCATATTGGTTTCTACTGGGTTGTCGGAAAAGTCATGACGCTTTTTTGCAACGAAAACCATAGAAAAAAATACGTCATGACTTTTCCGACAAGCCAGTAAAATTAGTCCTCCCCGTGAGCAGGGGTCAGTCAGGTGGTCTGCTTCATTCTCTGGAAACACAAGGTAAGGAGGGTGAAGGAAGCCGAGAAATAGCGATGCCAGGGGTGGGGGGCTCCGGTTAAGCGAGGTGGCCAGTGCCCCAACAAGAGTTTTAGTTTTGGAGGGAAAAAGAAATCAATAAAGGAAACCCGAGAAACACACCAGGTGAGAGGGAGGGACAAGTGTTTCCCCCCAGGCGGCATTTAAGCAGGCTTCTTGCAAACTTCCCCCAGCGCAGGGGATAGACTCCCTTGCTTGGGTTGCTCCGGCTCGGGCAGGGTCAAGTCACATTGCCAGGGAAATAACGTCTCACCAAACCTATAGCTAGACCAGGCAAGCTGGCCATTTCAAGGCAGTGAATAGTGATTTTGGAAAGGGCAGGCGTCGTCTCCAGCCAGCAGCAGGAAGGCACTGCTAGTTGGTCAGAGGCAGGACTGGGAAAGACCTCCAGCTGGGTCCTGGTTCCCAGGATGGGTTCCAAAATGACCTTCTTGCTGGGAATCTCTGGCTGCTCCTTATACCTTTTCCCCCCCTTAATTTCTGAAATCGCTTGGCTCGCTCTCTCCTGACAGGACAACAAGAGATCACAGAAAAAGACTTTTGTTTTGGGTTTGTGTGTCTCTCTCAGGATGGCTGCTAACCTCGTCACAAAGCAGCGTGTGTCCACCACACAAGGAACAGAGCAGCATCTTGGGGGATGGGGAGAAATTAGCTACAGGAGTCAGAAGCCTGAGTAACTTACATGAAACCAACTAGGTATGCTCAGACAAGCGAGTGCTCCTGCCCACGAATCTATGCCCTGGAGCAAGGGTGAAATCAAGAAGTGCATCTTTTCTTCCCTGTGTCACCTCATTTCTGGCCTTACTCTCATGGTGTGAGCACCTCATCAGCTCCAAGTGCAATCCCACCTGTTTGTTGAACCAGGTGTCATTTTCAACCACCATGGCCTCCCGACCACAAGGTAGCTCTTTCAATAAGGACTAATGGAGCCTCATCAAGAGACATTGGGTGATTTTGCCTTTTGCCTCCTTGCTAACGTCAGACTCCACCCCCCACATAAGCTGTGACTTCACTGTGTCAATTCAGTACTTTAGTTCATAAGCTTCTTGGCTGTTCTCATTTTTCTGATAACCTCAGTGAGGCAGCTGGTGAGCAGGCGCTGGGGCAGAGGCCTGGACCTCACTGACACGGTGGGTGGAGTAATGAACCTTGGGGCTGAAATGTTTCGGGGTCACTTCCAGGAAGTCCTGGGCTTAGAGTTTTGGTGGGTCTTGCCTTCAGGGCAAAGGCCATATCCCTCCCTCACACTCGGCCTTTCAAATCCCATCCATAGAGACACGAGGGGCAAAGAGCAGAGATGCACAAAAATCATTAAAAGTCTCCCCTCCCCCCAACACACGTACAAACACACAATCACACACAACATGTCCATATAAATAAATAAATAGTTGAATACTGCTAATGGTAACTGAGAGATCATATAAATAAATAAATAAACATAAATAAAATAAATAAAAGGTTTGCTTTAGCAGCCCCAGGCAAAACGGTCCCCCAGAGTTGCTTGAGTGAAGGCAGTTTGAACTGGAGGCGCTTCAACCTCTCACTGCTGTCCTGCTAAGGAGGTTCCGTGGCTCCGGGAAGCCTTTGTTTCCATGAGGGGAGGCTGGAGTCCACTCGGGGCGCCCGTGCGGGGAAGAGGGTTATTTACAGTTGCTGTACACGCCCTCCCAGGGCACCTGCCCCCCGGCCTTCTCTGGTGACAGCGTGGCATCCATAAGTCGTGGTGGACGGGGCACAGGCCAGAGGGCATCATGGGAAGGCCTGGTCCTCCACTGCTGCCTGGGCCACCTTGCTCCTCTCTTCTAGCGGAGAAAGGACTTTTGGAGGTTTTAGGGCACTTTCTGGCCCCGCACTGATATGATGGGAAAGATTGGGGAGGGAAGGGTCACTGCTTCCAAGAAAAAGGATGTTTTCCCTGGGGTGTGAGGGATAAAGAATGTTTGGTCCCTGTTTCCCCAAAGCCCCAGTATCCAGAGCTGAGAACTGTCCCCCGCCCCCGCCCTCCATGCCCTGTCCTGCTGCTGTTGCCACCACAAACTTGAAACTCACCCACAAGGTTCTGGAAAGCCAGTCAGCTGGTGAGGGGGATGCCCAAGAGTTTATTTTAAGGATCTTCTCCCTCACACCCCTGTTCTCTGCGCCTTCTGTGGCTGAAGCAGCTGCTGGTATTTTTGTGTTAAGAGATCCACTTACGCTTCCTGCCCAGCCCTTGGCAGGGGGACGGTGGGGTGAGGGCAGAAAAAAAGGTGGGGCTTCCCCAAGCTGACAAGAAACCTTGGGAGCCCAGGCCATGGAGCCTCCAAGACCCCCAGACTCTCTGGGTTTGGGTTTTTCTCCTAAAACCTGAGCTACTGTGCCCCATCCTGGGAAAATTCCTGAGAGGCAAAGGGGGTGGCTTAGGCTGAGGGTGGGTGGGTGCTCAGCTGCAATGGGTAGGTTCCAGGGTGTGGCAGTCGGGGCAGTGGGGAGGGGGCAGACAGGCGCCACCCAGAGGGTAAGGCCAGACTGGCTGGCGCTGGGGACTGGCAGCTGGCCATGGCCCTGGGGAGCGTTCAGCAGATGGTCCCATGGAATTAAGTTGATGCCAGCTTGTGGGGCTGAGGCAAATTTGGGAAGTGGGGCTGTAGACCAAGCTGTCCCGTCTGTCCGCTGTGTCCTTTCTCAGTGAGGCTGCAAGGTCCCTGTGAACAGCCAGGAGGCATTTGGTGGGTGCCATGTGGTGGCCCTTCCACTGCTAGAAACGACTGGGCTCCTTCTCCTGACCCGGCTGAGATATTGGGAGCAGCAGACTGACCTCTTCCTGTTGGTTTCTACATTCATGACCAGAGGCCCTGACTGCCAACTGAAACATTCCTGTCCCCTACTCATATATGTCCCCTCGTCTAGGACTCGAAGAGTCTGCTAGCCTTTGCTCTGGCCTGGCTGGGGAGGTGCAAGGCCTGACCCCCTCTCCTGGAACTGAATTGCCCTTGGTTTCCTCTCATCTCTCTCCCACCCCCACCCCCATGGCGGGAGAGGGGTCCATCCACGTGCAGCTGAGACTGAATGAGGGGAGACTGCGGGCAGGTGTGATGCATCACCGCTGGCTTTCATATGCATCCTGGGAGCAGTGGATTTAGCAGAACCGTCTCCATTTTCCTGGCCAGGCCCAAACTTTGGAGTCATGGACCCACTGCGCCTTACAAAACCTTGAGGTTTTCTGTGCCAACAGAGGGTGGTTCTCTCCCTATGCCCAGGCCTGAGCTGAACCCCAGGGCGGTACTGGTGGAGGCTGAAACCCCCGTACCTTCTTTTCCTCCTCCCCAGAGAAGCACGAAGGACAGGTCCAGGAGCCCTCAATGTCTGTCACCAAGGAGAAGGCAGGGTGGGCAGGAAGTGGGGGAGGATGGCAGAGTTAAAGGTGCCCCCGCCCCCAGGCAGCTGCCTCAAGGGAGGGCCCCCCTGCTCAGCGCCTTGTGCTGGAGTAGCTGTCTGCTGAGCTGTAGCTCCGGCTCCGGCTCCGGCTCCGGCTCCGGCTCCGACTCCGACTCCGACTCCGGCTCCGGCTCCGGGAGCCCAGGCTGGAGCTGCTGCTAGTGCGGGTCCTGCTCCGGCTCCGGCTGTGGCTCCGGCTGTGGCTGCGGCTGTGGCTGCGGCTGCGGCTGCGGCTGCGGCTGCGGCTGCGGCTGCGGCTGCGACTCCGGCTGCGGGAGTAGCTGCGGCTGGCAGAGCGGCTGCTGCTGCTGCTGCTGTACCAAGAGGAGGTGCTGCTGAGGCCGCTGGACGAAGAGGGGCTGGGTCGATAGTAGGGGATGGGGCGTTTCCGGGCGCTGCAGAGACCGAAGGAGCACTCGTGAGGGACAGACAGACTCCTCCCAGCCTCCTCCCAGCCTCAACCCAGGGAGCGCCAGCCTTGTCCCAAGCGACAGCAGTGTCCTTCCATCCCCCAGTCCTACTAGCTGCAAGGGAGAAAATTCTTCCCCTGCACAGTTTGTGAGAACATGAAGGTCTCGGCCTAGTGCTGACAGCAAGTCTTGGAAAGCGATAATTTTCACTTTTTAACGCAGCAAGCCTGGGGCTCAGAGCCTCCAGCTGGCAACAGAATCTACATCTAAACTTTCATGTAGTTTTGTTTTGTTATTTTTACTTTTACTAGAACCTTCTATTTATGGCAAGGGAGGCTGATTTTCCATTGACTGTAGTGTATCAAATTTCCTTTTGACATAAATGTATGGACCTCTAAAAAAAGGCAAATCTATTTAAAGAAAGTTCAGTAAACACTCGTAGGCTTAATAAGCTGACAGGGCAAAAGTGGTGGGTCACTGAAGTTTGGGAAACACGGAAGGGGTTCATCAAGATGGACTGTTTGGGGTCCCCCAACGAAGCCAGGGAACCTTTTGGAAACCAGAGAGCCACTCTTTATCTCAGCCTTCCCCCAAGTCGACCTCAAGAACACGGCTGGTCAAGGCGGTGGGTGTAGGAGTTCCTTCCTGTGTTACCACACCTTATTGTTTGGGGCACAAGTTCGTTTTCCTCCTCCAGGCCATCTCCAGGACACCCACCCCCTCCTCCCTGTGGGTCTCTGGGCCAAGTGGCTGATCCTTGGACGGTGAGTAGGAAAAGCCCAATGGATTGTCGAAGCCAATTTTAGGGCAGCACTCTGCCATTCTCCCAGCTTTCAAGGCCTGAGAAATCTGTGTCCACTCAGACTTCATGTTTGTCTTCTAAGACCTTACCTGTTACAGGAAACCTTGTCGCCTAGTATGACTGACCATTTAGTCCGTAACAATGGCACACAGCTGGTCCCAGTGCTCTGCATTTAAGTTTACAAAGTACATTCACATCTCTTTGTCTCCTTTCATTTCAGACTCATGCTACTCCTGGGCGTTATTTCCTCCAATATTTCAAGGGTAAGAACTGAGGTTTGGGGGAGGAGGGATGAAGCGATTTTTCCCAGGTCACCTGGAAAGTGGCATGGCCAGGATTCCACTCCAAATCCAGCGCTCTCTCCTTTACCCACCTCCAAGTCCCTTCAGCACTTAATCCTGTTTGCCCTCTGCACATCTGGTTCAGGGTTTAATTCCGGATGGTTCTAAGCCTGGAATCGGAGCATGGGAGGCTACAGGGGGAAGTCTGTCCACTGCCCGGCGGCTCCACCCCAGGCAAAGGCTCTGCCCAATGGCTTTGGCCCCCACTCCCCCGCTGGACCTCACTCTCTTCCCCAGCCCCGCCTCCCGGTCCCCAGCTCCAGATCCAAACTCTGGCCACACCCCCTCAGCCATACCCAATTCCTCAAGCTGGCCGCATCCCTTCACCCAGCCACCCACTGAGCCTCTCCCCACCCCGTCCTAGGCCCCGCCTCTACTATCCTGCCCGTTGCAGGCCCCGCAGGGTGGGCTGGGGCTCTGACTTGTCCCCGAGGTTTGGAACGGAAACATAATTTCAGTGGTTGGGAGTGGGGGAGCTGAGCTCCCACAATCCTGAAATCCAACCCCAGGAGGCATAGAAAGAGCCTGAGGCCCGAACGGGTGGGAAGGGAGTGGGAGTGAGGGTGAAGGTGGGCACCCCGGTCCTCCAGGGCTCACCTGGTTATCCTGCGCGCCTCCAGGTGGCTCGGGGAGTCTCTCCGGCGCTTGCGCATGGGCGAGTAGGACCGACGTCTCCGACGGGCTCGCTCGCGCTCCCGCTGCTGCGAGTCCTCACTGTACTTGGGGTCCCGCTCCCTGAAGGGGTGCGGGGGTTACTGGGGAGCTGGGGTTGGCCTGGTTTTACTGTGCGGGTTGTGCGAGAGGGGCAGTCACTTCCCCTCCTTGCCAATGCCCTCTACCCGACCGGGGCAGGCGACCGGTCCCAGAAAAGCAGGAGGGGAAGGGACAAGGACGTGGGGAGAGTGCTTGGGGGTGGGGCCAGGCGTATGCAAGGGGGTCAGCCTTTGAGGGTGGGCATTACAGGGGTGCGGGTGCTGCAGGGGTGATGTGAACGTCACGCGGGGCCTGGTGTGTAAGAATTGAGGGCTCTGAGTATAGGGATGAAGGGTAGTATGGGGTGTGTGACGGGTGGGGATGTGAACGCTAGGGTGTGGCCGTGGGAGCATTTGGGGCGGGAGTACATTAGGACACAAGGATATATGTGGGGCCTCGTTGCCGCTTCAGCTAAAACAAAGGGAACTACAAGGATGTTGACTAATCATCTTATTCCTACTACTCCCGCAGAGCCTGACCTAAGGGAAACAGGGGCGGGGCTTAGGGACGCTCCACAGGGTGAGTCTGGGGGACCGGACCTCAGAGGCGGATCAGGGCGAAGGAGGGGTCCTGGGAGGAAGGGCCGAGTCCGTGGGGCGCGAGCGGTACCTGCTGGGGCTGTAGCGGGAATAGCTAGGGCTGCGGCGGGCTCGAGAGCTCCTGCTAGGCGGGCTCCTCTTGCCAGACTTGGAGGAATAGCTGGGAGAACGCGAGTAGGACCTGGAGGGGGAGGAGACAGTCCCTGAGGAGCCTGCTGAGCTCGGCCGGGGCTGTCCCGGATGTCTAGCGATGTATTCAGCTGGTCTCCAGGGTTTTTTCCTTGTGGCGCAGAAACCAGGCCCTTCCTGGAGAATGAAATCCCCTTCCTTTCGGGTGGTTAATAATGATGTCGACAACTTACTCTTATTCAGCTCTTACTATCCTGGCCACTTATTAGCTGTGTGACCTTGGGCAGGTGATTGCACTTCTCTGGGCCTCTGTGAAATGGGGGTAATAATAGCATGTGCCCTATAGGATTGTAAATTAATTGAGTAAATTAGGGTAAACACTTAGCATATTGGCACACAGCCAGCACACAGGAAATGTGAGCTATGTCGTACCTGTATTATCACATTGAGTATTTTACTCTATGCTAGACACTGAACTAGTGCTTTGTGCACATTATCTCATTTAATCCTCAGCACATCCTGGGTTAGGTACTATTATCAATCCTGTTGTATAGATGGGGAAACAGAGGCACAGACAGGTGCTGTAATTTGCTCAAGGTCACTCACCTGGTAAGGGATTTGAACCCAGGTCTGCTTGGCTACAAAGTGCTCTTGACTACTAGAATCTGTTGTTGTGCATCTTACTAAACCCCTATGCTACTGCCAGGTCTCTTCTCACTCTGCTAATGCTCCCCACTTTTAGAGAACCTATTGCTTTTGTTTCTCCACCAGTTTCCCAGGAACACCTGCCTTTCTTTCTCATCTCCCTCAAGTCAGGCTTTCAAATAATGTTCATCTCATATATGCTGATTATGATCTACTAGTGGTGACTGCTGGAGTTGAGAGGGATTATATGGCTATGTTTGTGTTCAGTGGGAAAGAGTGCTGTGATGGACTAGTGATGTCTGCTGTGGCCCCATGAATGGGTAGTGGGGATACCCTCTCATTTTCTGTCTTTGCCAGCTTTCTTTTACAGGAACGCTCACGTTTTCTCATCTAGTCTTTTTGGTTTGAAAAGAAGGCTTGCTATGTATGTCTTGCCCTTACCGAGATATTCTCTAGTTCCTGCCTGCTATCTTAGACAATCATAATAATCATGCCCCTTAAATACTGCTCTGGGGTTCTGTTCGGACATGCTGTCCGGGGTGATGTAAAAAGTGTGGGTAAGGAATAGCTCCTCCAATCTCAGTGCCCTGGGATAGTGTCCAGCTGTGGCCCCTGGAAAATTTGCTGTTGTCAACTTGCTGTTTGGCTATGCATTGAGAAATGTTATAAGAAAGAGTCAAGGGGCCCGCCGAGTGGCTCAGTCGGTTAAGAGTGCGAGCTCTGAGCAACATGGTCGCTGGTTCGATTCCCACATGGGCCAGTGAGCTGCACCTGAGCTGAACTGCTGCTAAGCTGCCAACAGGTGGCAGGATGGCTCACTGGTGGGAGCACATGCTCTTAGCAACAAGGTTTTCGGTTCGACTCCCACATGGGATGGTGGGTTATGCCCATCTGCAACTAAGATTGAATACAGCACCTTGAGCTGAGTGTCTGCGAGCTGCCAATGGGCAGCTGGATGGTGACTGGACTTAGAGCTGAGCTAGCTGTGCCCTCCACAAAAAATTGAAGGACAACAACTTGGCTGTTCCCCTTCCCCAATTCCCCAACAATGTTCCCCTCCCCCAATTCCCCAATAAAATCTTAAAAAAAAAAAGAGTCAAGATGAAACATACTCTGGACACTCTGAAAGGATGTCAGGCATTTCCATCCACTATACCACATAATGTCTTTTTTTCTGTGGAGTGATATGAGTTCTTTTTCATAGGCTTAAAATCAGAAATAACTGATATTCTGAGTAACTCATTCAATTATTTTTTGTTGATAATGTCACAATAAATGGAGCAATTTCTCTTTTTGCTTTTTCTGCCAGGGAGCTCATTTGCAGCCTACCTCCATAGCAACTATACAGAATGGACATGTCTTTGGGGCTTAACCTTTCTCATGACTTAATTTTATTTCTCTCCTTAATTTTCCTTTTCATTCTGATTTGTTCTTCTTTTATGTCACTCTATCATGTTGAATATTCCTATGGGCTACCTTGTCTCCTTTTTTTTTGAATGAACTGGTCTTGAAGTAACCAACTAGGTAAGCAACTGTTTTTTAATTATACTGGGAGGTGCCAAAAAGTGTACACACACGATTTGTATTTATCTTTTGTTATCAGTATATATTGAGTATTACAATTTTAATACAGTTTTTTTCCTTTCTTCAAATGTGTATACCTTTCTTGGGGCACCCTCTGTATGGCTGCAAAAGAGAAACAGTAGGGCTGCTGTTGGGAATTCATGTTTGTAGAAGGAAGCTGGACTCCAGGAAGCCATGAGTTGATTAAAATGGATGGAATCCTCCAATTCCTGAGGTCTTGTGTCTGTGTATTCTGCTACATAATTATTCCACATGAGAAAATGAAGCAATTACCAATCGCTATTGTAACTGCGTGTTAGAATGCAAAAATAGGCACAATTCTTCTTCTTCTTGTATCCATGCCCCTTGAAATGTGACTTTCCATCTCCTCCCACTAAGAGGAGTACGCCTTGCATCTGGATTAGTCTTCGTAATTAGCTATGGCTAATAAAATGGCAGAAGGGATGTCACGTCCATTCCAAGCCTAGGCCTTAAGAGGCCTTGCATATTCCTCTCTCTCTTGGAACCCTGCCGTCACCCTGTGAAGAAGCCCAGACAAGCCTGCTGGACCAGGAAGAGAGATCACATGGAGAGATGAGTCAGCTGTGGGCATCCAAACCAGCCAGCCCCCAGCTGATGGAAAACATATGCACGAGCCCAAGAGAGGATGGAAGAACCATCTAGCTGAGACTTCCCCAAATTGCTGATCCTTTGAATCAGGAGTTCAATAAATACTTGTTTAAGGATGCTAATTTTTTAAGCAGCAGAATCTAATTGACACACATATGAGCTCATCTTCACGCAATGTTCCAACAGCTCATTGCTGTTGTTTTCATTTTGCAGATGAAACCCAGAGAGATTAACGGGGGACCAAGGCCACCAGCTTGTAAAGGGTAAACAGGCATTCAAACTCAAGTCTGCCTGACTCCTGTCCCTCATGGGTCAAAACAAAGCACATCTCTGGTTTACCTTAACAGCTCCCTAAGGAGGAAAGTGCTACAGAGCCAAGGTCAAAACCACACTCACCTTTTCCCAGAGGAGATGGATCGGCTCCGGGTGTACCTGGGGGAGGCCCTGGGGTTTGGGGAGCGGGAGGAGTGACTGGAGGAGCGGGTGCTGGCATAGGAGGAGCTGCGGGAGCACCCTCTCATGGGGGAGTTCCGAGCTGTGGAGGGGACCAAGTCGGACTTCTTCACCTCGGCACATTCCAGACACGGTGACTGAAATCCCCTGTGGGAGAGGAGAAAATCTGTTAGCACTGGCCAGCCTGCTGGTCTGGGGGCGTCACCGCCCTGCCTTTGCCTAGGCTGTGGTGCTCTCTGAACCCTCTTTCCACCTTTTCCATCCTACCTCTGGGAAGACTTCCCCAGTCACAGATTTGGAGGAGTAGAGAGAGAGTGGGTCACATGCCCCGGGGGCGCTTCAGAGTCCTTAGGTCATCGGGCAGGGGTGTGACAGTAAATAACATCAAATCGCATGCTGAGAGATTTATTCCCTTTCGAGTCTTTTCCAGTCCCTTGTATTCCCAGGCTGCCTAGAGACATGCTGGGGTGGTGTTGGGTTCTCAGTCCGGACATGTTCATTTGGATTGGGCCAAGGGTCAAGTTCAAATCATGTTAATATGGCTTCAAGGCTCATCGTGACACGGCCTCCGCTCACTCCTCCAGGCTCAGCTCTCGGCACTTTTCTCCTTGACTGCAGTCATAGCGGACTACTCACGCCTCCTGGAATACCCCTATTCCTCCCTCGTCTCCAGGCCTTCGAACAGTCCCACTTCCTGGAAAAGTTCTTTCCTCCTCTCTTCGCCTGACGACTCCTACTCATGGTTCAGGCTTTAGTTTGACCTTTTCTTTTCAGGGAAGCCTTCCTTGACACCCGCAAACTCTTGTTGGGTGACCCCAGCCCTTATGCCTTCCTGATCCCTAGAAGACTTCACTTGGTCTCATCATGATCTCTTCCTCCTCCAGATGCTGAGCAATTTGGGGACAGGACTTTCCAGACGCTGTGTCCCAGCACTTAGGACAAAGCCTGATTTATGTCCTACGTCATCAAGAAATAGCTGCGGAGTAAACAGTTTGAGCCTCTAGTGTCCTGGGCGCTTCACAAGCGTGATCTCCTTTAGTCCTCCCAAGGATCTCAAGAAGCTGGCACTGTTATTATCCCCAGCTTACAGGGAGGACTCGGAAGGGTTAGGGTATTTGTTCAGATTCCCAAACCCGGATCTGTCCTTTCCGAAACCCATGCCCCTGCCATCTCGCCAGCCCCCTACCTCACTGACTATGGTTCCCCTGACTTAGAGCTGATACCTCTCCCACTCAGCCCGCTGCTCAGAGCTGACGTGGCATAAATAGTCATGGATTTAAAGGCCATTTATATCTCAAAGTGAAAGGCTAGGTCTAAATTATTTAGTCTGGCTGTCCACGTAAATTAAGCTTTAACTCCAGCTCTGGGGACAGATCTGTGCTCCAATACAGGTGTTGGTCCTCATGAACTGAGTTTCTCAACTACTCTCAGCCTCAGTTTCCCCCATCAGCTAAAAAGGGGTTATAATAGCACCTATCTATCCCGTAAAGGTTTTATGAGGAGTTAAGGAAGATTATTCACGGGAAAGCACTTGGCATAGTACCTAGCATAGAGTTAGGGCTTCAGAATTATTCGCTGCCATTATTATTGTTATCGTTATGCTCAGGATTTTTGGCATCATAGCAGTAGATCAGTAAACACGTGTCCTCTCTCTCTCCCGTCTGGGAACGTCACTGCCTGTTCTTGGAGACACTGACATTTGCTGTGACCCAGCCCCGGCTCCCAGCCAAGCCTGGGTGTGAACAGAGGTCAGGGATATCCTGAGGCAGGCAAACCAGGGGCCAGGTCTATGTGCAGAGATGCCAAGCTGTGTGTCCAGAACTGAAGTGGCTATGCGTTGGGGACAAAGGGTGCTCTGTCCTTGAAGAAGCAGTGAACCGCGTCAACGCCAAGGCTTTGGCTATCTTTCGGAAACCTTGGCCGCTGTGAACAAAAGCAGACTCCCAGCCCCAGACGAAGGAAGACCCCACCGTGGGTGTGGCAGAGTGCACCAGAAACCTTTTCCCAGCTGTCCTGCATCTTTGCATCTACCCCGCTAATTACACGCTCCTGAGGGGAAGGACCAGCCATTTTTGTATCTCCAGCACCAGGCCCGTGTCTGACATATAGAAGTGCCTGGTAACCAGCTGAGGGACCAGTAACTGAATGAAGGGTGCCGAGTAAGTGACCAGCAAGTTGAAGCCGCTATCACTGTGACACCTCCTCAGTGATTAGCAGATTTCTTGAGTGAGAGAGTCAGGGGCTGATGAAGTAACAGAATTACAACTGCATGGAAGCATTGTCTGCAGAAAAACTGCATCTAGCATGAGATGGGCAGAAAAGTTAAATCCCAATGTTCTATGACAGCTTGATCTCCCTTAGCCTAAAATTGTCCCCTGGGGGATATATATATATATATATATATATATATATATATATATATATATAGGGTTCCTTTAAGAAAGGAAAAAACTGTATTAAAATTATAATACTCAAAGCTGAATACAAGTCACGTTTGACTTCCACAAGAGGTGCTCAAAGTCATTACCATCAGCATAATTTTAATATAGTTTTTCCCTTTCTTAAAATGTGTATACATTTTTTATACTTTCCACATGCACTGCCTCCCCCACTATCAGCATCCCTCACCAGAGTGGGACATTTGTCACAACTAATGAACCTATACTGACACATCATTGTCACCCAGAGTCCATAGTTTACATTAGGATTCACCCTTGGTGTTGTCCATTCTATGTGTTTGGACAAATGTATAATATGTACCACCATTGTAATATTGTAAAGAATAGTTTCACTGCCCTAAAACCGCCCCCGTCCTCTGCCTATCCACCCTCCAATCCCTGGAAAGCACTGATCTTTTTACTGTCTCCCCAGTTTTGCCTTTTCCAGGTTGTCATGGAGTTGGAATCATACAGTATGTAGCGTTTTCAGATTGGTTTCTTTCACTTAGTCATATACATTTTTCTGCTTGTCTTTTCATGGCTCCATAGCTTATTTCTTTTTTTTAACGCTAATATTCCATTGTCTGGATGTATCACAGTTTATCCGTTCACACACTGAAAGGACATCTGTGTTGCTTCCAAGTTTTGCCAGTTATGAATAAAGCTGTTATAAAAACATCTGTGTGCAGGTTTTTGTATGGACACACATTTTTGGTGCATTTTGGTAAATACTGTGGTATATTTTTAAAAGACGGTGACTTACAGATGAATTTAATGTTAGGCTTTCTTCTGAGATTAGTGGTAAAACTGACATCTGTTTCTTTTTCCTGCCCAGCCTCCATCCCTCCTCCTGATATCATCGCTACCCTGCCTTTTCCTCCGGAGAATCAGACCTCCCCCAGCCTTAGTGAACATGGGAAGGCTCTACTCATGAGTCCTGAGGGTGGCATGTGACAAATTCTAAGAACACAGCATCTCCTGGGCCAGAGTGATTGGGCCAGTGTGGGCAAATGACCCAAGCTGGGCCACGCAGAGCCAATGAGCACCTGCCCTGATATTTTGCTGAAATTTGGGGAAAGAGGCATTTTCCTTCCATTGGCTGGCTAAACACACAGAATGTTAGCTGGATGGCATATTCGCCCGCGCTTTGGGAGGGTCTGCTTGAGCATGAAGGCAACAGAGGAGGGAGCAGAGCCAAGAGAAGTAATGAGAAAGACAGATTTCCAGGGATGTACTGATATTTTTTTGAGCCCCTGGATGCAGCCATATCTGAAGCTGAATATCCTTGGATTTTTCAAAAATTATGCCAGATCGAGTTGACGTTTCTCTCTCTTGCAAATAAAAGACTCCTGGGTGGGGGCCTGGTGGGCGGTGCAGGGCAAAGGATGAAAGCCTGAGATGGCAGCGCTAAGGCGGGACCCCCTCCCTGCACCCAGGTACACTGACCTTGACTCTCTGCCCCTGCTGGTGGGGGAGAGGTTCTCCAAGGTGGTCCCCTTGTTCTGGGGTGAGGAGGTGGTGAAGGAGTTCCCTGAATCAGAGGTGTTGCCACTGTGGAGATCCCGGCTCTTGCCTAGGCCCCCACTGGGGCTCGCTTTCTCCTGACCCCGCGATCTGGCTGAGCTGATTTGCGTGGAGGGTGGCGAGGAGGTGTCATTGCCTGAGTCATACTCCTGGGAGCGTCCTCGGGATGTGGCGAGCGGGCTGGCTGTTTTGGTAAAGAGGTCAGCAGCAGACCCCGACCCAGTGATCTGAAAGCAAAAACACCCGTTGGACGCTGCTGAGCGCTGGGCCTGTGGGCTGTGTCTAAATAACCAAGAAATGTTTACCGTCATGATGCACTGTAACGAAAGGAAAGAGAGAGAGAGAGGAAAGAAGAGACGCCAAAAAACAAAAGCACAAATTCCTGAAAGAATACCACAGAAAGGAGAGTCTCTTTCTTTTTTTTTTTTTTTTACCCCCTGCTAGGATAACTGGAAGATTTAGGTATCATGCAGAGAAAAGGCATGCGATCCAGATTAAATAAAAGAAAAAGGAAATTATACAAAATTTAATTGCTCATGAATTAACTCAAACCAAAGAGACAACTTAATAGGAGGGGGAGGGGTGTAAACACCCTGAACCTAAAACAATAATAAAAATAAAGGAAGGGGAAGGGGAAAAAGAAATGGGGCTATGGGCCTGAAAAATATATATATATGTATATCTTGGAACTTAAAAAAAAGAAAAACAAAAAAAAGGAGGTAAAGTAAAAATTTTAAACTTCAACCAAATCCTCAATGAATTGGATTTTTTTCTTTAAAATAAAAAGTTGCCTGAGTAGAACCCTAAACAAATATCACAGGGGGGAAAAGAAATGAAATAAAGATGTGTTGTTGTTGTTGTTTACATATAAGGTCAAGGTCACAAAATGACATTTGAGCAGTTTTCAACAAAAAGGGAAAAGTAAGGGGAGGGGACAAAAAAAAATGGAAGTCAAATCGTCTGACTGAAAACAAACAAACAAAAAGCTCTCTACGGCTATTTGTGCGTGTCCTTTTCCCCCTGGAGAAGGTAGCTAAGGCTCTCGAGTGGCTTCTAATAAATTCTCTCATGTCTTTGCGGATTATATCCACTTACCAAGCAAGAACTCCTCCTTTAGTAGGTAGGTAAGGTGTAAGAGAAAGGGAAGAGCGGGCAACGTGAGTCCATCGTTAGAGTCGCAAATGACAAGAAAAAACACACACCTTTCTGCACATCCTCACACTTGGCCCTGAACTTCGAGTTTGTTTTTTTTTTGGCTTTTCAGTGTCCTGGACAGGGGAGGCCTCAGTGCTGTTTGGTTTTCTCAGCAAGGGGACCTCAAGCCATCAACACTAACCTCCTGTCAGTCCCTTAATGCCCACTTCAGATCAAGAAACCCTTGCTGCAAGTGCAAACGGTGGTGGGGCGGGGCGGGTGTTTGCATCTGTCTAGGTGTCTAGATCAAGGGGACACAGGGAGGGTGTGCTTGCAACGAAGGGCTTTGGGAGGGGCTTGGAGATTTGGCTTTGGGGCGACTGGGAAGAAGGCAGGGTTCCCAGACTCCTGCTTGGGGCTGACCTAGGACGGAAGGAGTCAAGGAAGGGAAGGCAGTGGTGTGTTTAGAAGTACAAAGGATGGTTTTCTTTAAACATCCAGACCTGCCTCACAGGCTAGTATGACACAGTGAGTTTGGGTCTGGCCCCCACCAACAGTACCATGCTTATTTAGGTGTAGGCCAGAGGGCCCCCTGCCCTGGTCCTCTTCCAGCCATCACCATTTCCAGGGGGCCAGAAACATGGGGGGCCAAGATGGCACTACCTGGAAACCACCTCCCCGAGACTGCTCTCTGGGTACCTGAGGTCCCAGAATTCTGTTTAAAAGGCCCCTGAGCCCCCTCCAGGGTCTCTGCAGGCTTGTCCATGGATCTGTCCTCCCAGGGACGGATCATGCTTCAAGGGTGCACGCTCCTAGATCCAAGGGTGGCTCTTTGGACAGCGCTTGGCTGTTCAGGCTGAGGTGTCCACATGCATGTGTGGGAGGCCCATCATGGTGCTGGCTGGTGCAAAAGGTGAGCGGAGACAGGGAGCGGCCAGGGCCCCAGGTAGGCCCTCCCCACACTGCCATGTTGTGGCCTCGCATTCTGAGGGGTCCGAGATTCTAAATTTAAATCTGACTTTTCAGACAGTTTGGAAGGTATGCTCGCCTAGATAGGAGGACATACTTCATTTAAGTTTGCTAGCTTGATTTGTAAACAGTTAGACATGCGTATGTGGGCTTCCTGTCTACACTTGCCCAGGGCCCCACAAATAGTAATGCAGGCCTTACCCTCCAGAACCTGCCTCCTCCCCACTCGATTCCATGCACCTTGGGCCTAAAGGAGGGGGATTTGGGGGGCTTTCTTGTGTTTTTTTTTTTTCCAGCTGAGCCATCCTGCCACCTGTTGGCAGCTCAGTGGCAGCTCAGCTCGGGCCGGGCATCGAACCGCTGTTGCTCAGAGCTCGCACTCTTG